CCCTGTAGACTGTTCAGAAAATAGCAACGCCCTAGAAACCACCTAGCACACCACACCACACAGAACACTACAGCAATGACCTATAAATGCCCTGTAAACCGTTCAGAACACCCTAGCAACCACACAAAACCCCCTAGAAACAATCTATGCCTTATAAACCATTCAGAACATAGCAACATCCTAGAAACCAAATAACAATCACTCAGAACACCATAGCAAGAACCTATAAATGCCCTGTAAACAGTTCAGAACACATTAGCAACCTTATAATTCGCCAGCACCGCTCAGTGGGTCACTGGTTCTCACTCTCTCTATCAGGATGTCGTTCAGTGACTTCCTGCGTGAGTTCAGTCGGCTGGAGATCTGTAACCTGACGGCAGACGCGCTCCAGGCGGGTCAGGTGAAGAAGTGGAGCACGTCGCTCTATCAGGGCGAGTGGAGGAGAGGAAGCACGGCCGGTGGATGCAGGAACTTCCCAGGTACAGCAGAGGACAGGGAACGGCGGGTCAGTGGTGGGAAAACAGCCAAATCCTCATCTGCCTCTTTTGTTTCTATAAACCACAGCCACGTTCTGGATCAACCCTCAGTTCAAGGTGACCCTAAAACACCCGGATTCCCCCGGCCAATCGGATTGCAGCTTCCTGGTGGCGCTGATGCAGAAGGACCGCAGGAAGAAGCGGAGAGAAGGACAGGACATGGAGACCATCGGATTCGCCATTTATGAGGTCAGAGAGCAGATCTCTTTGGTTTAACTCATCTAAAGTTCCTGTTCATGTGTTTTTGGCACCTTTTCTGATTGGTTGTTTTTTCACCTTTATTTTTGCAGGTGCCAAGAGAGGTATGATGAGAGCCACCCAGGGCCTTTTAAATCAAGTGCCATTTATTTATATATACATATGTGCTTTGTATTGTACAGATAGTTTCAAACAGGCTTGTGAGATGATTCGGACATTTGAAGGCCTTTAAATACTGTAGAAAAGAGTCAAATCTTGAGAAGCTTGATGACACTAGGTCTGTTTCACTAATAGTTG